TGTGCCCTCGAAGCTGAGTGTAATCGAACTCGAGGGTCTTTGGCAGATAGCCCTTCTCGACTTAAGCTATACTGCAAATGATGTGCCTTAGAGCTGAGCGTAGTCGAACTCAAAGGTCTTTTGGTGACAGATAACCCTTCTAGCCTTGAGCTATGCTGTAAATGATGTGCCCTCGAAGCTGAGTGTAATCAAACTCGGGGGTCTTTGGCAGATAGCCCTTCTTGACTTAAGCTATGCTGCAAATGATGTGCCTTGGAGCTGAGCGTAGTCGAACTCGAAGGTCTTTTGGTGACAGATAACCCTTCTAGCCTTGAGTTATGCTGTAAATGATGTGCCCTCGAAGCTGAGTGTAATCGAACTCGGGGGTCTTTGGCAGATAGCCTTCTCGAGTTGGATATCCTTCGTCGTGAAGTTGAAATCCAATCTAAAGATGGATGATGCTTGTGTGCACGATTCCCTTCGTCGTGAAGTTGAAACCGCGGGTGGCCCCTTCGTCGTGAAGTTGAGCCTAAAATTGGATATCTTTCGTCGTGAAGTTGAAATCCAAGTAAGTAGCATTGTTCCGAGTCCAATATCCTCCGTCGCTATGTATCTATTAATCTTATCAGCAACCAAATTAGGCATAGTGAAAATGGACATGAAATACACAGACAAGTTAACAAGAACTGATTTAATGAGAGTTAACCTTCCACCCATTGCAAGCATTTTACCTTTCCAGCTATTAAGCCAACTTTTGACTTTATCCAAAATTGGTTGCCAAAGAGAAATAGAATTTTTTTGATGCCCTAACGGCAAGCCCAAGTATGACGTCGGAAGCTCTGCCCAACCACAGTGAATCAAATCAGCATACCTCCTAACTGTACCACCATCCAGATTAATACCAAATAACTTTGTTTTATTCATATTCAGCTTCAAACTAGCAACCACTTCAAAAGTTTTAAGCATCCGATAGAAAATAAAAAATGACACCAGATTCGAATCAGAAAAAATAAGCAGATCGTTAGTAAATTGAATATGAGATAAAAACAAGTCACCGGATCCAACATCCACTCCGCGACAAAGGCCCAAAATCGAAGCCTTCTTAAACATACCGCTATGCGCCTCGCCAACAATATTAAACAATAGGGGCGACAACGGACAACCTTGTCTAAGAACCCTTTTAATAGGGAAAGAAGACAGACAACCATTAACAAGAACAGTAATGGTAGGAGTCGAAATACACATGTGCACCCACATCCTCCATCTTCTGTCGAACCCCATTTTCTTAAGAATCATATTTAAGAACTGCCAATCTACCGAATCATAGGCTTTACTAAAATCTGCCTGAATCAACACAGTTTTTTTCATGCACTTCAATAACCCATCGATGACTTCGTTGGCAATCAAACTACAATCGGCAATCTGCTTACCAGTAGTGAAAGCGAACTAATTCTCTCCAATCACATCCGACAGACAACAACCCAACCTCTTCGCTAAGACTCGAGAGACGATCTTATACAAGTTGCTCACCAAGGAAATCGATCTGTAATCATCTGGTGATAAAGCCTTAGCTTTCTTAGGAATAAGCGCTATGAAAGATTTATTGAAAGAAAAGTCATCGACTTTGCCCCAATAAAAATCTTCCATAAAGCTCATAACGTCACTTTTAATATGCTGCCAAAATTTCTTAAAAAAATCCAGACTAAAACCGTCTGGACAAGGCGCTCTTGAACCATCAGAAGATTTAATAACAAACCACACCTCCTCTTCCGAGAAATGACACTCAATAGACCTTCTGGTGGAAACATTAAGTCTCTTAAGGAGGATGTCAAATTTCTTCAACGGGATTGTTTTCACCTCATTAAAACCAGCAACAAAATAATTGGCAAATGCTTGTTGAATTCCTGCCTGATTTTTGAACATCAAATTCTGAAACTTCAGCTTTGAAATCTGATTTCTCCAACCTCTAGAAACGGATAAGAGATGGAAAATTTTTGTATTCCTGTCACCTTCTTTGAACCACCTCAGTCTAGATTTTTGCAACCACTCACGTTCTTCCTTGCTAGCAACAGTCCACAATTTAGCCTTCAACGAAGAAATCTCCGCCTGAAAAAGAGAATTACTAGGATCCGACAACCATCTCTCTTCTAACGAACCAATCTTTTTACCTAGCTCTTCCGCCAAATTGGGGTTCATATCTCTAAATTCTCTTTCTCTGAATTTGGTCGCATTCTTTGCGAGCATCAACAAATAGTTAATGCCTTTACCATAGTTAGCCACACATAGCTCACTAATTCTATTTACCAAGATTGAGTCATCCGCCCAATGGTTAAACCATTTAAACAGTCTAAAAAACTTACTTGGCCTCTTCTCTTTCAAGACAATCGACTTATGGTCATAAGGCCCCTTAGGCAGAGAAAATTGAACCAACTGAGGCCACAAACTGAAAATTTCAGTAGAGATCAGAAACATGTCGAGCCTATTAGCTCATGCATTCCCACCACCCCTAAACCAAGTATACAAACTGCCCTAAATTGGCACCTCGATCAGATCACAAGCATGGATGAAATTATCAAACATCCTCGACGCAGACGCGTATTCATGCATCCCTATTCTTTCAGAATGCCATCTAACACAATTAAAATCACCTCCTACAATCATCGGAATACTCCAATTAGAGATAATATACTACAAAAGCTCAAAGAACTCTCTATTATCCCCCTGCACATTCGACCCATAAACATTTATGATCCCTATCTCCCTGTTAAAAGAAACCAATCTCCCTTTAAGGTCTAACACTCTTCTATGAATAGAAAAGTTACGTCAAACACATTCTTGTCCCACATAGAAATCAGCCCCCAGAAGCACCTTCAGCAGGCGCAAAAACTATTTCATTAGCAAAATTCCCTAGTAATCTCCTTAACACAAACCCGCTCAACTCAGAAACTTTTATCTCCTGTAACAAGATTAGATTAACCTTACTCGATCCAATAACCCTATGGACATCTCTTATTTTTCGGGTTTCCTTAATCCATGAACATTCCAGGATAAATCATAAATACTATCAACCATAAAAAAGAAAACACACTGAAATAGAATTCAAAACGCGGAACAGAAAATAACTAACCTAAATCCTCATTCGCTTCCAATCTCTTTAACACAAACTCTCTTAGACCAGAGAATTCCACCCCCAAAACTTCTGCAACAGCTAAAGTCTCCTCCGCTTCAATGGCTGCAATCTGCTTGCCTTTACCAAGCTCCCCGACCTTGGTTCCATCTTCTAACCTTCTGCTACTAACATCCTTCTTTTTTGCTCGACCCTTAACTCCCTGTTTGTCCCGAATCACATTACTTAATCTTGATGACATTTTGAGACTGGTCTTAAACATCCCAGTCGAAACTGGTCTTGTCACTGTATCACAACGCGATTTAAGAAATTTTTTTATTTCTCATGTGAGAATTCCCATTTCCATGTACACATTTAATTTTCGATACTTACCTATGTCATTAGTTTGGTTTTAATTTTAATTCAATTTAATAAATTTATTGAAGATTAAATTTATTGAATTAATTTAAAATTTAGAATAAATTAACAGGATGTGTAAATAACAATGATCAAATGTAAAATTATACTATTTTCTTAACAATTATTATAGCTCTTACATTGAATGTTAATGGTAATTTATTTAATTAACATCGTTTTAGCTTAATTAATAAAATTAAAAGATCAATTGTTAGATTAAAATCTCTTAAAAATCCTAATTATCATTCCTCATTGTCGTCATTTAACCCACAGCCGTTCAATATTTTGTTCAATCGTCGATGACAACAAAATTTTCCTTTTGTCGAGCTATTTGTAAAGCATATTTTAATCTTTAAAGAAAGAAGATTCACAACCTACAAAGCTTTAACGCCAGCATGTTGGAATTGACGCCATTAATCGTTAAATCTTGAAATTCAACTCTAAATCGAGTTTTTCGATCCGATTTAATAGAGTTGGATTTTTAAAATAAAATTTTTGTTTGGATCGATCAATCTTTTTAAGGGGTGATGTTGGGTTCAGGTGCAAAGTGAAAAAACTCTTATCCGATTAGACCCGAAGACAATAATGTATTTTTTAATTAAGTCTTTATTTTATACATGATCAGGTTGGTTCAAAATCGAATGGAAGAGATAAATATTTTTAAGATCGAGTCGATCAAAAATCCGACCTTAACTCGACTCGTTTCCATCCCTAAACTCATGTTATTCTTTGTGGTATTTTCTATCATCTCACTTTTGTCAGGAGCCCAAAGTTTGTGGTATTCTTTTGTGGTATTTTTTACTTCTTTTCTCTAGAGTTTTGAAGGTTTGGGTTTCATGTTTCGTTTGACAATAACATTAGTCAACTCCGATGTCGGTTCAACCGTTGATGACATATATCCGACAAAAAGGGGTCCAAAATTTCAGTTTAGTTTCGAGGATTTTCAAATTGTTTTTGGAACATAAGAAAGAAAGAGGATTGTGAAAGGATCATTTGGTCACCATCACCAGCCGGAGCAATGGGTGGTTGTGGCGGGATAAACAACGATTGGCCAAATTGATATTTTATTTAAAATTTAAAAATTAAAAAAAATCAAAAATTTTATTAATGTTTTCACGCATGCTATTTTCTAAAAGCTAGGTGAAGAAAAAAAAGAGCAAAAGTCAAACAAAAGGGACATCCGCAGTAGTTTATCCTATTTTTAACAAAACTAGAACCCATCAACCTTGGGTCCAGTGTACCCAGCCAATTCGAGTTTAACAATAATAGTTTTTTTGTCTTTTGCTTTTAATATATAAGAAAAAAGGCTTATAGTTGTCCCGGATAAGTGTTCTTCTAGCATTAACTTTCATTTTATTGGTACATTAATAAACATTTAGATTTGGTCCAAAATCCAATCTTTACATATACAATCTGTTCCATCATCATCATCACCAACTTCCCTTCCTATTTTGCAGCGACCGCCACCGCCCTAGAAACCCCAGAAGAGCAAGCTTTAATGGACCGGCAACAAAACCTGCAAACTATCGGAAAGGAGAGTGAATTAGCCGTCGAAACAATCCAGAATATTGAATCCTTGCCAAGTCTGGACGGAGTGGAACAGATCTTGAGCTATGAGTTTAGGAACAAAGGCCTGCTGGAAGGAGCTTTCACTCATGCTTCTTTAGGATTGACCATCTCCAACGAGCAACTCGAATACGTCGGAGACTCCGTGCTTAACCTACTCTTCACTAAACAGCAGTTTTTTGAATACCCTGATTTGTCGCCGGGTACTTTGACCAGACTCCGAGCAGCCAATGTCGATACCGAAAAACTGGCTCGTGTCGCCGTTAAACATGGATTGTATCGGTATCTGCGGCATAAGAAACCTCTTCTCGAAGAACAAGTAAGCGATTCAAACGTTTTAGTTTTATCCGTGCGTTGAATTTTAAGAATTGAGTCGTTATAATCTGGGATTTTTTATAGTAGTATTGTGTTTATCGTTATTGTGGATATAACAAAATTATTATGGATACTAATATCCAGCAATAAGATGACACTATAATCTTTATATAGTTCAGTATTTCGATAATATATCACTAGTTAAATTCTTAATAAGAAAATCTGTTTGGAATGCTATTGAAAATTATTGATTTCACAAAATTTGCTGTATTATTCTTCATAAAAAATATTGATAAAAAAATTCTAAAAATAAATTTTATTAATTTATTGGAGATATATTTTTATAATGTAATATTGGATTATACATTTTTCTATGTTTAATTTTAGAAAAGAGTTGGAATGGAATATAATGAAACAGTAGGTAAGGTCAAGCCGTTGAATTTCGCAGTCTAAAAATCGTGGTGGTTAAGTTTATTGAAAGTGCCTTTTAGATATTTGGTCTTCTTCTAAGGTGCGGGAAATATCGAGAGATTTCACCTTGAATATTATTATTGTACTTTTTGTTTAATTATTGATATTCAATCTGTTCATAGATCAATCTAAATTCATTTATAACGATAATCTTTTTTAATTTAAGATTCGAATTCTTAATTTTATCTAATGAATTACTATCTCGTCAAACATGAACATATTCGACAATTTTCTGAAGAGATACAACGGTATCCACTTCATTCTAATGGACTGGTCGACGTGCCAAAGGCATTAGCTGATGTCGTGGAATCCGCCATCGGAGCGGTTTTCATCGACACCAATTTCTCCATCGATGCTGTTTGGAAGGTACCTATTTCTTTCACTTGACCATTACTATTTTGTCTCACAAAATAAAAATTTGGATATTGCAATAGGTGTTCAAGGATTTGTTGGAGCCTATAATCAGACAAGACACTTTAAAGATGCATCCGGTGACCCAATTATGTGAAGTGTGCCAAAAGAGAAATATGAAAGTTAAATTTGTGGACCTGTGGAAAGAAAACACAGGTTTTGATGTGTTTGTAGACGACCAACTTGTGGGAAGCGGGAAATGTAGCCTCAAGAAGGAAATTGCACAGAACAGAGCTGCCAAAGATGCATTGGACAATATATTGAGAATCCTAGATCAAAGAGATACCGATACCAACATTGCTGAAGAAATAAATTGAATTGATAACGTAAAAGGTGAAATAAACTCAACATGTTTTGTCTAATGAAATCACAATCCGGTTGAGAACAATAATAATTCATGTACTCCGTTTTTTTTTATTTAGGGACTTAATATATCAAATCGGTATCGATATTATCTAAGACTATCGATATTGTATCCATATAATATCGATACTTATAGAATGATACCAATACAATGGCTTAAATTGATTAAATTATTCACGTAGTATCTCATTTGGGTCTATAATATGATCTTGTAACTTGTACTGATTGTATGATTTATGTTTTTGACTATCGATAATAAATTCTTTACAAATCAGTCACTAAATCATAATAATGACTAATTGATTATCCGATTATACAATTAGGGTTAATAAGAGTAACGATATGGTTTTATAAAGTTAACATAACATCAGCAATCCAGCTCATGACTAGATAAGGTTGAAGGTGCTACAGTTAATGATGTTAGAGTCTGAATTTAATCGATTCTAGGATTAAACCAATTCAATCTAATTTTCGTTGAATAATTTATCGAAATGTGTAGATATTCCGATGATTATGTGAATCTCGAATTGTTCAGTGATTCCGAGAATAATGACGAGATAGGAGGACTGGTCTGTAAATCATGCAGGCTTAGGGGGATTTATAAAGCTATTATACCAATTTTATAAAACAAAATAAAAGAGTTGAATATCTTGTAACAACCGAATGAGCTTTCTTCCCTCTTAACCAATAAATTATTAGTATCATTAATTTCGGGTGGCCTAAGAGTTAAGACGATGTCTGGCCAAAAGTTTGATATTTTTTAGGCAATAATTCAGAAGCAGTACTTTACTAGAAGAAGCCAAGCCCCACGCAGCCATGGTTCGTTCCAATGCGTTGTTGTAGCACTAACAGCGGGCAACTTCATTCCCACTCACATTCGCACAAGCTCTTTTGGAAGATCTGTTGAATCAAAGAAAGCGTGAACAGAATTTCACATTTTGTCAACTACTGCTTCGAATTGTTTAGGTCTTGATTCGTTCAGAAAAGTGTGTGTCGATCAAGGAGATGGCGTTGTTGAAGGCGGGGCTGTGTATATTGGGGCTGTGTTTATTCGGCTACATAGTGGGTCCGCCCCTGTACTGGCATTTCATGGAAAGATTAGCAGCCGTCAGCCACACTTCCAACACTTGCCCACCTTGCCTCTGTGATTGCTCTTCTCAGCCTCTTCTCACTATCCCCGAAGGTTGGTTCCATCTCTGTTATGCTGTTAAGATTTTTCTTTGATGTTTCTTATATGATCTTTTGTACATTGCCTTGCAAAATTAAGTTAATTTCGTGGCCCGTCTTTAATTTATGCAGGACTGAACAATGCTTCCGCTTCAGGTTAGTTTCCAGTTTCTTTCCCAGTGATGTATTCATTGGAATATAGAACTGATATCATTCAAATAAATCTACACTTGTTCTCTTATCTTTTCTGGGTTTCTTATCTTCTCTCTTTACTCTCTAATAATCACTAAGTACTAAATTACGATTGCGCTGTCTATTACGGATGCAGTTGCGGGTGTTGCAGACGTATAATGTTTTATGTGGCTGGTTCCTTTAATGTGGATATTTGCAGATTGCGCAAAACATGATCCGGAGGTGAACGAGGACACTGAAAAGCAGTTTGCAGAACTTTTGACAGAAGAGCTGAAGCTAAGAGAAGCCGAAGCTTTGGAAAGCCAGCAACGTGCGGACATGGCATTACTGGAGGCTAAGAAATTAGCATCACAGTATCAAAAGGAAGCGGACAAATGCAATTCAGGAATGGAGACATGCGAGGAAGCAAGGGAGAAAGCCGAAGAAGCATTGTCTGCTCAGATGAAGCTGACTGCAATGTGGGAAATTAGAGCTCGACAAAAGGGTTGGAGAGAAAAGGTTACCAAATCTCACACACAGTTACAAGATAATCTCCTCTTCGTCTAAAACCATCGACCATGGCCATATATATAGGAAGAACATCATTAGAGAACTTTCTTGGATATATATATATATATATTTCAGTAGTGTTAATAATGGGAATTAATATCAAGTTTATTTGAAGAAAGGAACATATTGGTCCAGAGATACTCTGTGCTTCTAAATACTCATTCTAATTTGCCTTCTTGACGGCTGTGATTGAACCGGCATCCCCACTGATTGAACCATACCTTTTATACATGTGAGCTACAATCAACGAAGCCGACAGTGTCACATAGTCCTTTGCTGCACATTGCTTATTCGTCTCACTCGGTGACCCGGTCTGCGGTCCGTTCGACCAGAACAAGTAATTCAGCAATTCTTTCCCTGTCCCCACAAACCTGTCTGGTTTAAAACTCTCCGGTTCTTCGAGAACTTTACCATCCCTCATGGCCAAAGGCTGATATCCACAAAGCAACTCACCTTTCTTAATGTCGAAAACCGAGTCATGAGAAGTGAGTTGAAAATCCTTCCTGGCTCGAGCGTATTGAAGTTGTACCGGCGGGTTCAGACGCAACGCCTCGTAAACGACGGAATTCACGAGCTCCGTGTCTTTAACTGTTGACGAAAACAGGTAAAGAAAACGAAAGAACACGAGAATTTTACGAGGTTCGGCAATGTGCTTACGTCCTCGCTGCCTAGGCGGCGCTAGAAGTTTTATTCAATGATCTTTTTAGGTCTAGGTTACATCTCTATTTATAATAGAAAACCCTGGTACATAATTACAAAATCAACCCTGTACCGTACCGCGGGGGCTGCGCCCCCACACCCCCAACCCACATAATTCGTAACCCCACAACGAGACTTTTTATGAGCCATACATAACAAATCTCCACCTTGGCGAATATCCTGCCCCTTGGAAACTTCAATGTGGGTTGGGTTACCTTGCTTCTTTAACAACTCGAAACATTCAACAAGTCCAAGCAATGCTTGAACTTGTCTGTCGTAACTGGCTTGGTGAACATATCAGCGGCATTCTCATCAGTATGTACCTTCTGAAACAAAACCTCTCCAGATGCAACCAACTCTCTGATCTTGTGGAACCTTACATCAATATGTTTAGTTCTAGCACGATACACCTGATTCTTAGCCAAGTGAATAGCATTTTGATTATCACAAAGCAACTGAACTCCACCTTGTTGAACACCCAACTCCTTCACTAAACCAGTAAGCCATAAAGCTTCTTTTGCAGCTTCAGCCGCTGCCATGTATTCAGCTTCAGTTGTAGATAGTGCCACGACAGATTGAACAGTAGACTTCCAGCAAATAGGCCCTCCACCAAGAGTAAACACATACCCTGTCGTAGATCTTCTATTATCCAAGTCACCTGCATAATCTGAATCCACATATCCTACAACCAAAGGGTTATCCCGCTGACTCCCAAAAACAATTCCATGTCCCACAGTACCCTTTAAGTACCGAAAGATCCACTTGACTGCTTCCCAATGTTGCTTACCAGGTTTAGACATGTACTTACAAACTTGACTAACAGCATGAGCTAAATCAGGACGAGTACATACCATCGCATACATCAAGCAGCCAACAGCATTAGAATACGGAACCTTTGCCATATCTTCAGCTTCCTTATATGTCTTGGGGCACTGTTCTGATGAGAGCTTAAAGTGATTCGCCAATGGAGTGCTAACTGGTTTTGCGCTGCTCATCGCAAACCTTTCTAGCATTTTCTCAACATAACCCCGTTGAGATAGCCGCAGTTTCCTTGAGTCTCTGTCCCTGCAAATTTCCATTCCAAGAATTTTCTTTGCAGCACCTAAATCTTTCATATCAAATTCCTGACTCAATAAAGTTTTCAAACCGATAACATCATCCATGTTCTTCGCAGCAATCAACATATCATCAACATACAGTAATAGAAAAATAAAAGAACCATCATCAAGGCTCTTAACATAGACACAACAATCATACTCACATCGGTTGTAGCCAATCTTGATCATATAGGAGTCAAACCGTTTATACCACTGTCTCGGAGACTGTTTTAACCCGTACAAAGATTTCTTCAATCTGCAAACTAAATGTTCGTTTCCAGGTTGAGTGAAACCTTCAGGTTGCCGCATGTAGATCTGCTCCTCTAAATCACCATGCAAAAAAGCAGTTTTAACATCCATCTGCTCTAAATGCAAATCCCAACTAGCCACCAATGCAAGTACTGCTCGGATTGAAGTGTGCCTGACCACAGGAGAAAAGATTTCATCATAATCAACTCCTTTCTGCTGTGAAAAACCCTTCGCTACCAAAGGAGCCTTGAACTTCTCCCCCTCTTTTTCTGTTACTGCTGGTTTCTTCTTATACACCCATTTGCAACCAATCGGCTTCTTACCCTCAGGAAGGGGAACTAACTCCCATGTGCGATTGTGATTCAAAGACTCCATCTCCTCAACCATGGCTGCCATCCACTTGTCGTTTTCCTGACTAGTAACGGCATCATGAAAAGTAACTGGATCATCACTGCTAACAGTAAGTGCAAAAGATACCAAGTCTTCAAAACCCAATCTGTTCGGAGGCTTTATATTCGTCCGTCTCACCCTGTCTCTGGCGAGACTATAATCCTGCAAATCATCCGTAGTGGAACCACCGGAAGTCGGTTGAGAAGTTTCTGGTTTCTCAACTGGAAACTGCTCGAAATCTACCACTGTCGTGTCTTGCTTCTGCTGCAACATAGATTGTTCATCAAAAACGACATCTCTACTAATCACAACTTTCTTCGCAACTGGATCCCAGAACTTGAATCCTTTGACACCTTTCTTGTAACCCAGAAAAATGCACTCCTTCGATTTTGCATCAAGTTTGGATCTCTCATCAGCAGGTACATGCACATAAGCAGGACAACCAAAAATCCGTAAGTTATCAAAACTAACATCATGACCAGTCCATACCTCTTCTGCAACTTTCCCAGCCAGCGATGCCCTTGGCGATCTGTTGATAAGGTAACACGCCATGTTAACAGCCTCAGCCCAGAAGTGTTTGGGAAGCCCCGCATTCAACCGCAAACATCTGGCTCTTTCATTCAACGACCTGTTCATTCGTTCCGCAACACCATTCTGTTGTGGTGTCTTGCGCACTGTAAAATGCCTCTGAATCCCATGCTCCTTACATAATTGTAGGAACTGTGAATCTGTGTACTCCGTACCATTATCAGACCGCAAACACTTGATTTTTCGTCCTGTTTGGTTTTCTACCTCAGCTTTCCACAGCTTGAACTTCTCAAAAACTTCAGATTTCTGTTTCAAAAAATACACCCAAACTTTCCGTGAAAAATCATCAATAAAAGTAACATAGTACCTAGATCCACCCAAAGACGATGTCGTGGAAGGCCCCCATACATCAGAATGCACATAATCAAGAATCCCTTGAGTTGTGTGCTTCGCAGTCTTGAAACGGACTTTAGTCTGTTTACCAAGAACACAATACTTGCAAAAGTCGATCTTACAGCTTTTGACACCATGCAACAAGTTTCTCTTGTGTAATTCTGCCATACCACGTTCACTAAGATGAGCAAGGCGCATATGCCACAATTTTGTCGTATCATCACATGACTCAACAGAGTGAACTCCACCTGCAACGGTACTCCCTAACAATCTGTAGATATTCCCTGCAGTCATCTTGCCTTTCATCACAGTCAATGCTCCTTTAACAATCCGAATGGTTTCCCTATCCTCGTCAGCCTTAGGGATAAAACCATTCTTGTGCAAAGTGCCCAAGGAAATCAAATTCTTCTTCAAGTCTGGGATATGTCGAACACCACTCAACGTCCGAACGGAACCATCGTGCATCTTAATTCTGACATCACCAATACCAACAATATTGCAACATCGATCATCACCCAAATAAACCGAACCAGAATTAACCGGCCTGTATGTCGAAAACCATTCCCTATTTGGCGTGATGTGATAAGAACATCCAGAATCAAGAATCCAAGCATCCGTCAATTGTGTCGTTGAAATAGAAAGCATATCACCCTCACTGCAATCAGAAGTATCATCCTCGACCACGTTCACAGACTTGGATGAGCCATCACGCTTCTCATCGGTCTGCTTTTTCAACTTCGGACAGTCTCGCTTCATATGTCCCGCCTCCTTGCACTTGTAACAGTGAATCGTCTTCTTATCCCTGGATTTGGATCTGGAATTCCGCTTCCCGGACCCTGCCTTCTCTGGCTTCCGTCCACGATCTCGATTACCCTTGACATATAAGCTATCGGCTTGAGAGCTTTCCCCTGCATTCTGCTTCCGCTGGTTGTGAGCCAACAAGGCTGCAGTAATCTCCTCAACGTTGATAGTCTCTTTCCCATATGTAAGAGTAGTCACCATGTGTTCGTAAGAGGAAGGCAACGAACACAACAGAATCATCGCTCTGTCTTCATCCTCAATTTTCACATCAAGCCGAGCCAGATCAGAAACGATTTGATTGAAGACATTCACGTGTTGCGCCAAATCGTGATCGTCCTGCATCTTCAGCCCATACAGCCGCTGCTTCAGATACAGTTTTGTCGTTAAGGATTTGGACATAAACTGACTTTCCAACTTCCTCCAAATTTCGTCTGGAGACGATAGATGCATGACGTGATACATAACCTCGTCCGCCAAGCATAATCGTATGGTTCCTGCCGCTCGCTGCTGCAATTCTTCCCAATCTTCCTCATCCATCGACGCCGGCTTTGTAGGTCGCAAAGCCTTCAAGATCCCTTGCTGTGCCAATAGATCCTTCACCCTCGTTTGCCATAATCCGAAGTTACCCTGACCATCGAATTTCGCGACTTCGAATTTTGCTCCTGACATCTGATACCAATTGTTGACGAAAACGGGTAAAGAAAACGAAAGAACACGAGAATTTTACGAGGTTCGGCAATGTGCTTACGTCCTCGGTGCCTAGGCGGCGCTAGAAGTTTTATTCAATGATCTTTTTAGGTCTAGGTTACATCTCTATTTATAATAGAAAACCCTGGTACATAATTACAAAATCAACCCTGTACCGTACCGCGGGGGCTGCGCCCCCACACCCCCAACCCACATAATTCGTAACCCACAACGAGACTTTTTATGAGCCATACATAACATTAACCGAGTCGAACCTCAGACCTGCCGGTGATCCACATACTTTCCTCACTTCGTCTCTTAACCTAGCTTGTAGCCCGGTTTTATCACCAGCTATGGCGCCTAACAATGTAGGTAAAAAAAATGGAGAAACCACCATACGCATTGAAGCCGAGAGTGAAGATCAAGTTGTGGATAGCGTCGGATTTCGAAAGGCCGAACTATTTTTCGCCGAGCAGAACGACTTATTTACCGTGCTGCTCGATGAAGCTGTAGAGTTTTCGGTAGCCTCCACTTACGAGTGCAAAAGGGTAGGCGTAGGAGTGAAGAAGTATCTCAAGCAGGGGCTGAAAAGCTAGGATAGGGATGGTGGGGAGGAGTTGGAGGCCGAGCCATAGGTTGATCGACAAGGGACCGGAATCGGCGACGCCAGGATCGAGGGTAGGGTCGGCTCCGATGAGGGACTTGCTGAGGAAGGTTTGGAGGAGTGAGAGGAAGGAGGAGGAGCCGTTTTTGGAGATGTCGCATTCAATGGTGTCGAAGAATACCTCCACCCACACCTTGGAGCCACGCTTCAGGATGTCTAAAGCGAAGTTCTTGAGCTGTTCATTTCAAACATCTCAAACGGCGGTTATTGAAATATACACACAAGTATTTAACAAAACTATCCTACAAAGTTATCTAAACAGTAGGACATGAGACGAGACAATATTGATAGTAATTCATTTGAATTAAATTTGGTTAAAATTTAATTGATTAGATGCGTTTAAGCTCAAATTCGAATCAAAATTTTAACGAGTCAAAATAAATTATTTGATTTTCGAATTGAATTTTTAACGAGTTGAAATAATCTATTTAATACTCGACTCTAAAATCTCATGAATAATTTGAAAAAAAATATTAATTTTTTATTTTTTTAAAAATTAAATTATTAATAATATTAATATTTATATGCTGTTATTTTTTTAAAAAAAATTATAATATAAGTTTTCATATATTTAAGGTTCAAGTTTGAGCTTTAATTTAATTCAGTCTTAGAATGTTTTGAATTTAAGTCTTTTTGAGTTAAAATCAAGTTTAACAACTTTAAACTCACAAATTTTCGAGTGTAATTGGATCCAATTTTAAACCTTTTAAATTTAATCGTATTAAAAAATATTCAAACTCAACTCAGTTCGGTTACCGTACTAGAGCGACATAAAAAAAAAAACTCATTCTTGTTTTAACAAAATAGATGATTTAACCTTCTAAAACTAATAACAGATCTTTTGACATTGGAAATTGGTCCGTATAAAAAATACGGCTTAATACAAAAAAAAATGTTTGAATTTTATTTCAAAAAATGTTTTAGTACCTAATGAAATTTTTACTAAAATTATATGTCTAACTTTTTTATCGAAGCACTTTTAAGTGTTTGGATCGTAACGGCCGTTAAATTTGACCATTAAATGACACGTGCCAAGTCGGGTAATTTTGAGAATTTATTTTAAAATTTTAAAAAATAAAAATATTTTTTATTAAAAATACCTTTCTCCCCCGTGCAGCAACATGCCTCCCCCTTCTTCGTTCTCGCTTTCCCCCTTTCATGGTCACCGATCGATCGGTCGGTCATGACCATCACCGCCATCGTCGTTAGAAACGACGTCGACCTTTGATCAAATCCTCGTTGGCCTTTCATCGTAAGTTGTCACCGTTTGCCGTGAAAATGCGTTCAAATGTTCGTCAGTTTTTAAGTTACCATCGCTATTTTTTCGTCGATTACGGCTGATCTCAACGTTCATATGTCACGTCGTCATCACGATTCAAACCACCATGTAATTCCGCTCAAAACCCATCCTCGCTATCGCTCCGTCGGTGCTCCTCCAACGTTCCATCGTGGAGATTGAGACTTTAAAGTTTTAGGGATTTGTATGTTGGGGATTTTAGAGATTTAAGGGATTTGGGTGATGGTAAGGGTGAAGATTGATCGATGGGTGACCGACGACGGGTGGGTAACCTTTCGATCATGACGATGGTGATCGGAGACGGCCAGTGACGGTTGGTAACTGGTTGAAACAAGGGATCCCAAATTTTTTTAGATTTTTTATAATTTCATTAAATTTTAGGTTCTTTTATAAATAAATTATCTTTTTTTTATTAAAAGATAATATTTTTTAGCTTAAATCCCCTAGATTTTAAAATTAATCGTTAAATCAATTCTCAAACTTGTTATCAAGATAATACATATGTTATATAACTCGTTAAGGTTTAGGCTTGTTGCAATTAGTGCTTACTTCCCTTTTCTTTCTTGTATTAAGTGGAAGAATCGAATATTGCCAACCCTACATTAGCTTTGTACCTCACTTCAAAATTCGAAAATCTTTATGTTATAATTTGGGGTCATGTAAACTGGATGCTTCTTTATTATTCTACTATCACTTATTAGCTTTATGATAGTGATTTGCATCTACCCGAATATAAATAGATTAATTATTAATAATTATTAATAAATCAAAATTTGAAGAAAAAAAACTTGAATATATAAAGGTGAAAAAAGCCTATAATGTAAATGAAAACCAAAAGAAACTAAGACAGTATAGTAGTATTGAAGTCGCACACTAACATTGCTTACAAGTGATGTCTATTTGTCTAACGTATAACCATATCCACCTTATCCGATTTCAGTCCACTGAGCCATGATGGCTGAATACTGAACACTGCGATTTCGGTCTCGACGGATCCCTTTCGGCACTGGCCGGGCAGGCTGATATCCCAACCGGCGGCTCCATACAATTGTAGGACAAGCACACCGACACCGTATCAGGCAGAGTCGAACCTCGAGGTAATGGGAATCCAGATAAATAGTTATGTTGCAGATACAATGTTGTGGTGGTGCCGTCGTACACGCACTTAACGTACTCCTCCGGGACAGATCCGATCAGATGGTTGTTGTTCAAGAACAGAGTCTCGACCCCGGCCAACAATGGTGTTATCTCCCCCGTGATGAAGTTATGGCTCAAGTCGACGATGGATCCCTCGCCGTAGGATTGAACCGTGGTGGGGTCTACCTTGATCGATGGGAGCCCACCCGATAGATTGTTCCGTTGCAGGAACAGCGAGGTGAGGGAGGGATTATTAAAGAAGAGAGAAGCGGGGATGGGCCCACTGAATCGGTTCATGCTAACGTCGAGGTACACTAACTCGGATAGTGAATCCAGTGAGCTTAGTGGACCCCACATCGAGTTCTCCGACACTGACAGGTAACGGACGGTTGACGGCAACCGTGGCAACGGTCCATTGATCTTGTTCTTCTTCAAATCCAGGTGTAATAACCGGGCCGACACTTTTGATTGTAACTCGCCCGTCAGCTCGTTTGAACTCAGTACCAGGATTTTTAAAGATGGAAGCTTCGTGAGACCCGGTGGGATGGAGCCGGAGAGGTGGTTTGAACTCAGATCCAGCGTGTGTAAGAAGGGGAGAGTGGAGAAGGATGATGGTATGAGTCCTGTTAAGCGGTTGTTGGTCAAGGAAATGACTCGGAGACCAGTGAGTTGCCCCAGTTGAGAAGGGATAGGACCGGTGACGAGACCAGGGAAGAGGATGAGTTGGGCTAACATGGTAAGGTTGGAAAGAGCAGGGGAGAGTGAGCCAGCGAGGCCTGGCGAGTCGGAAAGGCCAGTGCCGAGCGAGAGAATGGTGACTCGACCGTTGAAATCGCAGGTGACGCCGGTGAACGAGGAGCAAGGATCCGGTGCGGTGAAGTCCCAAGTGGAGAAGAATCTTGAGCCTGGAATGTCTGTCAGGCTGTCTTTAATGGCCGACAACGCCGCCAGATCAACGGCGCTGATCTTAGGTGATGAAACAGCCGAACTGACGCAAAACAGCAAAAGAAGAAGAAGAGGAAGAGGAAGAGGAAGAGGAAGACGTGGTTGATAAAGGAGAGCCATTGTTGAATGCTGAAGAAAAAAATACCGTGGAAACAAGCTCTTAAGTAGTGAAGAAAGATGGAGGGAGAGGCGGTGGACGTACGTGATTTTATTAATGACGCATTACAAGTTTTTATTACTATGTAAGTTGAATGAATGAGATGAGATGTAAGAGAAGAGACGCCAAATATATAATAATTTAGCTTAACAAATGGCGAGAAAAAGACTTGAACTAAACCAGGGCAGGGCAAGGTAAAATTATTTGAAATAGGGAAGGAAAATGACAGAGGAGAAGAAGGAAGAAGGAGACAGAGAGGGGTCAACTTGTTGGTGTTTTTTTATTCCCAAAATTAGTGGTCGGGATTTCGGAGGGGATGTACGGACAAGATTTAAATCTAACTTGCTGTTAAGATACTATTTTGTTTGGAAAAATTATTAAATGTTCTCGTTTATTACGTTATCAATAGTTTATTTAATAATATTTATTTATAATTTTTTAAGGTAAATCTTTATTTTTTTCTTAAATATAAATAAATATAAATAATTATTTAAAAATTATTTTAAAATTTGTAATTCTCATTCTCTAGGACTATCAATTATGTGGTGAGCTAAATCAAGCAAATAATTTACTATTCTGTTTGTGACATAACGAACTAAATAGAAATTTTTTGAAAATCGAACTAAATAGAATTTAAATAAATTAATAAACTATTAAATTAATTATTACTGTTTTCAAAATCATATTAAATTGGTTAGGTAAATTTAAAAGTAAGACTCATTCGATAAGTATAATAAGAAAATAGATTAAATTTATATGATGCGAAAATAATTAAGATAAAAAATAGTTTTTTATTCATGAGATAAATTTCAATTATTTATTGTTTTAAAAAATTTATCATTTTTCCATGACAAATTTTAAATATATTATAATAAATAATCTAGATCTCTAATTAATTTTTTCACTTATATTTCTTAAAAATAATAGATTATTTGATCAACAAAATGTCCCATTTAACTATTAATAAGCCTATAAACGAACCGACGAACACAAACATTGTATGTTCATGTTCGTTCGTTTAACTTTAACTGAACAAATGAACGACCACAAACATAAACTTACAAAAAATTTCTTGTTCATGTTCGTTCGTTAAATAATGTAGCTTGTTTGTGTTCGTTCATGTTCGTTAATTTAAATGATAAACGAACACAAATGAACGAACATAAACGAACGGATGTAAACGAACATAACGAACACAATAAACGAACTTAAACAAATACAAACGAACGTAAACAAACATAATAAATGAACATAAACGAACATAAATGACAAAAAAACATATAAAAATAATTGAATTTTAAAATATTAATGGGTATCATATTAAAATTTATTGGGCGTTAATATTTTAAATGTGTTTAGAGAGATTAGACTAAACATAATTGAACGAAAATAAACGAACAAACGTAAATGAATATAAATGAACGAACATAAACGGACATATTATTAAATGTTCACGAACGTAAATGAAAAAATGAGTCATCTGTTCATGTTCGTTAATTTAATTAAATGAATAAAAAAATCTTATTCATGTTCGTTAGTTTAATAAATAAACGAACGTAAACGAACTTCCCACCAAACGTTCGGTTCGTTTACAATCCTAACTATCATATCAATTTTTACAGTATTGATGACAATAGAATTATGTTATATTTTTTTAAACTAAAATTAAACAAACATATTTTTTCTTTTAAAAAAATAAACAAACATATTTAATACGAGGATAAAATATATAAATGGTCCTCTGATTATATGGTATTTTTTATTGAGTCGATCGACTATTAAAAAATTACAAAATGGTCCCCTAATTATATGATATTATTTGTTTGAGTCCTCTAACTATTAAAAGTTACAAAATGATCATCCGATTATTTATATTTTTCAAACTTATCCTTTTTTGTTAAAAACTTACTACAGTCTAAGCTAGACGTTAATATATTAAATGAGATATGATAGTCGTTTGAGATTTTCAGGTCGTGTTTTATCATATCACAGTTAGTATATTAACGTCCAACTCAAATTGATGTGATTTTTTATAACGAAAAAGGATGAGTTCAGAACATATGAATACCCGGAAGACCATTTTGTAACTTTTAATAGTCGATGGACTCAACGAAATAATGTCATATAGTCAAGGACTATTCCATAACTTTTAATAGTTGGATGACTAAGTAAAGTAGCACCCTATAGTCAAGGGGCCATTTGAAATATTTTACCCTAATTATAATTTTTATCTCATTAAATATTAAATAAAATTTGATATACATGTTTATAGTTGCTATCATTTATGCCAATCCAATACAAATCCTAGACTAACAGCCATCTATTGAAATGCTTCATCCATTCAAAATCATGATTGGGGCTAGGAAGCAGGTTACGACGGATGGGGATGCAACTACACATAAACTCATATGCATAATAATAATAATAATAATAATAATAATAATAATAATAATAATAGTAATAATAATAATAATAGGAATGGGGGATTATTATCGTACATATTGCGACAGCGAAGATGATAAAAGAATAACCTGTCCTACATATATGTTACCTTTTCAGCAGCTTTTGACCCCATCCCTCTTTTTTCATATGGTTGATTTTGATGTATGTATGTAATGTACATTCCATTTAATTGTCTCACGTCTCGGGTCAGATTCTCCTTTCTCAGCCACCATTAGAAAGTATAGCTTCAAAACCTCTTAAGTTCTTGAGGAGTTATGGTGTGCGACGGCTTAATATAAAACTAAAGAAATACGTAATAAAAAATATTATAAAATACGATATAAAATATTATAAATAATATAATATTTTAGGTAGTGTACAACTTAAAATATCATATATATTTTTAATATTTTAAATTACAATCTAAAACATTATAAAAATGATAACATTTTCGATTGTAACCTAAAATATATTTACAATTGAAAAAATAAGAAAAAATTAATATTTTAGATTACGTGCAACCTAAAATATTATGTTGCTTTATGATATTTTAGTTCGTGCATTATATAAGCCTTATAATAAGTGGTTCTACCAAGTTCTTTCCAGATGGTATTTACTTCAGAAAAACTGATTTTCTTTTGTCACGCCTCAGACTTGCACATTAATCGCTTTGGAAAAGAAATTCAAAGAGTGTGGTTGCAGATGGGGGCAATGCTTTAACTTAGCGGGGAAGGGGAAGGGGAAGGGGGAAGGGGGAAGGGGGAAGTGGAAAAGGTATTTCATCACTGCCTACTACTGGGTTGGCCAAATGTCCCGACTCTGACGTTATATACCAATGTAACCCCTCCACATTTGTTTATTCATCGATGCCTGACCCGCTCTTTTAAAAACCCATCTTTTTTTCAAAGTTATAATCGGTAAATGTTTAGTATCTGAACTATTACTTCTACTTCATTTTAGTTCCAAACTTTATTGTTTTTCAAAATCATACATAATATTTAATTTAGGTTTTAGTTTGATACTCATTGTTAAAAAAAATAATAGAACTACCGACGTGACAACTTTTTTTTATTTTTTTCAATGATAATGTGACATTATCTTATGGTGACATATCAGTATCATCGTTATGTTTTTAACGACAAATACCAAAATGAAACATAAACTAAATATTAGATGTGATTTAAAAAAAATAAACTTTAGATACTAAAACGGAATAAAAATAATAATAGGTACTAATATGTAGTTTACCCAATTATAATATTGTGGTTGGCATGATCCAAGGACCATCACATTTGTTGTAATGTGGATCAGATTAGCTTTAAGTTTACTGTGGTATAAGTTAAAAAGGGGCAGGAAGGAAATGGTCCAAAAAGACAGGAAGCAAGCGCAATCGAAGATCCACTGCCATGGGGTGATGAGTGAGTCGTCAGATTCGTTTTGGGGTTCACCAAAATTTATGATGCACATTTCGTGACGCTACAGTCGGAAGATTCTCCTTTTTCTTTTCAATACCATGATATCCATTCTCCGAAACAATCACACAATTAATTATAGTAACTCAAAAGCTTTAACTTAATTTTAGTTTATTCAGCCACCTTTAAAATTTATAATCAGTAAACTGTAAACTAATTATTTTATTAAAGTTAAAAGATCATTATGTTAGATGCTAATTTTTTTATATAATTGAAGGGGAAGTGAGAGCGGACGGGTGAGGCGATGGCTTTTGGGGCAGTGTTTAGGGAGAGCTTTGGAATCTTCGAAGCAGCCAAGCCAAGTGTAAGGGGCTGCTGCATGGAAGCTTATGTGGTGGATTAGAATGCACGTGAGACTATACCTTGGATGTCGGCAGTGGCCCTATAGGTCAAGCCCCAGAAATGTTATGATATACGAGTAAAACATATGTAAAATTTTAAGTTGATGACGATTGTTTTTTAAAAATTTGAGAATGTATTGTTTTAAGAGCTGCTAATCAATCGGCCTACTGTCCACTAGAAAATGATCGTTAGGTGATAAGCGTCGAATTATCAAATAAATATGAAAAGTAAAATAGAGAAATAGAATTGATGCATAGGGACTAGGAAAACTAGCAAAGTCATTTCTTGTCTTGCGTAATACGCAAAAATAATAAAAAGGAAGTATTAATAATAATTAAAGTGATACGGGAAAAAATAAACCATAAATATAAAATTACGAAAAAGTAAATAATACTAAAAAATCGATAATGATGGTATGGCTTTAGGCTTGTTTAGCTTCAATTTTGATCGATCATAAAAATATAATTTTTCCTTCATGATGCACGCTAATTATACCTAACAAGCCCAACCCATACAGTTAACTCTTCTCTCGAGTTAAGAGAAATGTCTAAGTCTATCTCCAAAATTCGATCCTTGTTGGTCTAACCAAGTCTATCACCATTAGATCCAAAATAATTTTAAATTATGGAAAATCGCAACTCAAGTTGTAATGTTTCATCGAAGAATCAAACTCGATCTTGATTCTCCTTAGCAGCAGACCGCCGCCAAGTTTATTCACATGAAGTCGAAGTATGACCAATCGGTTTGACTTCCAAAGTTCAAGCAAATAATGTCTTCAAATCAATGTGCACTTTTTGAGTTGAAGATGTAGTAACTTTTAAGGTAATAATCGATTATCACTCTTAGTTTCCAAAGAACCGAAGAATGTTATCTTTAAGTTGTGAAGAACAAGACTCAATTCTGACGATTAGAATTGAGCTTCACAAAACTTTTGACTTAGTGTAAATTTAGCTAAGTATGGATTGGATCATGCTTAGCATTTTTATGGAAAAATAAAAATTAAAGAAGGTAAAATGATATAAAATAAAAGAGAACTTATATAAAATAACCAATGAAATACAAAATCCAATATGTTTTCAAAGCATGAATCTAAGGGTATATTTATACCCAAAAATCCCTAAAAGATATAATAACTAGAAGATAAAGATAAATATAAAAATATTCAAAATAAAATCCTAAATTTAAATTTAAAGCTTTATCATAAAAGAATAAGATAAAATATTTAAAACTTGTGGCTCATTCGAATTTTGTTTTATCTTCTTGATAACCTCAAATTATCTCAAGTATTTATCTTTAAAATAATTCCAAATTTTAATCTTCAAGACGATAATAGTAGCACATCTTCTAGAAATTGCTGACACGACCATCAAAGTCTACCACATCGAAAAGTGTCATGCCCCAGATTATATCCATGACTCCCAGAAAAATTATACATTTTGTCTTTTCAATGTTGATTTTGGCAGATTAATCCAAATAAAGTTCTTACTTGAAAATAATTCAAAACATAAATAAATCGGTAATATCCAATCGAAAACGAGGAGTAAATGACAATAAATGAATGCAACAACAATCATCAAATTCCCCGCACTTATTTAATGCTTGTCCTCAAGCATACCTTAGTTCAACATATTAACTTCTCTATTTACCTTCTATCTTCTCGCTTAATATCTTAGAAAACCAACAAAGTCAAGGTCACACCAAATATTTGAACCATAATAACAATCAAGTAGAAGAACATGAATAGGATAAATTTATGGAAAAATCATAATATTATATTATTCATTAATTTCAAATGCAACAAGACTCAACACCCTTACATGAATTCACTCAATACTCTTAAAGTGTTTAGGGTGTAATATGAAACAAAAGATACTACATCTGAAGAGTTCTAATTATGAGTTTTGTTTTTGAAAAATAAAATATAAAATAAAACTTGTAAATCAATTCATAAAAGGCACCACCTTTGATTTTAGAATAAACAATCCAACAAATAGCATCAAAATAAGCATGTACAACATCCCACAAATATAATCGATTCAAAGTAGGTGTAGGAATATACTTACAAACTTGAAAATCTCGATGTCGAATAGAGTCAATCTGCACTTTTTTCTTTATTTTCAAATTGCAAGAAGCCTCGCAAATCCTATTCAATTTAAACAACGTATGATCGATTATGTCGGTTTCATTTTGGGTTTTCGTGAAAAATAATGAAAAAAAAATTAATTAAAAATAAAAAAACTACAAGAATGAGTTACCTCTCTTTAGAATGTTTTTGTTTAACGTCGTTAACTTAACGACTTAGTTCAGACAACATGCTTTTCGAGAATGATTTATTCAACCACACAAGCTTGGGGTTTTCATACAAATGCTTCAATTGTTGACCATTCACCTTGAAGCATGTTTTCGATTCATCTTAAATTTCAACTGTATCATGTGAAAATACTTGAGTCACGGTAAAAAGTCCTAGCCACTTCATTCAAAGTTTTCAAATAAATATAGAGAAGTAGGTGATTTGGTTTCTTGGTGGCATCACTTGGTTCTTCTTGTTGTATATCAATGATTTTGTATAAATAAACTACTACATATGTGTATTGGTTTCTTACTCTATTTTTAAAAAATATTTTTAATTAATCTAAGATGCTTACAAATGATAGTATATGTTTGAAATAATATTTTTAACCAAAATATTTTATACTAAAAATAACAATAAATGAAATTCAAAAACTGAATTTAGAGGTAAGATGGTGTGTTATCTTCCGTTAATTTGAATTTGAAAAACATTATCGATAAAATATACATAAATTTATGTAATCATGTGACATGTAGTTACTACTATGTGACTATATATCATATGTTAAAAAAAATAATGACACAACAAGAGACAGATATAAAACTTTATGTTGGGATGAATTTCTAAAATTTTAGAAGCAAATGTACTTATAAAATTTTAAGAGGTAAAAATAATTTTTTAATAGAAATTATATTAAAAAACTAAAATATATAATATTTTTAAATTTTCAGTAAACAATTATCTCAACCTGTCCTTCGGTCCTAATCCTGGACGCACAATAAAGGCTATTTATCCGTTTTGAAGGTCGGAGGAAATAGGTTTGTCTCGGCCCGTATAAAGCCTCGGGTGAAAACCCACTTTGTATAGGATCCAAGTAGAAACAAAATCTAAAAAACCGCATTTAAGTTTACTGCCTCGACTATTTTCTTTCGTTTAATGACTTGATTAAGTTTAAAGAAGGTTGCTCTTCTTCTTTTATTTTTTTTGTTGCACTCCCGATTTTAAGGTTTTGTCTTGATTAATCTGAATCGACTCGTAACGCACACTTGATTTTGGTGGACGAATCTCCCAATAGAAATTTTCTGCATACAAAAAGACTCGAACTCAAATATTTACTTAACTGATATTAAGCTATTTACCACTTGAACCAACTCCTATCAGTGATGTTGCTCTTCTTTGCTTTCAAGTTAAAAAGAATTTAGATTCGTCCAAGAACTAAAGAGTGGCAACTTTTTACCCACTAAATTAGATTAACTCTAGAGTTGCATACTATTTCTCTCAAATCCCATAATCCTTGAAAAAAAAAGATAACAAGTTCTAAACTTAAGAATTTAGACCTTAAATCCTTTAATTATCACTTGATAAATTAATTGAGTTCATATTTATTCTTCTTTCAATCACGCAAGTCAAATTTGATCAAAGCATATTTTAACGAAAAATCATATTACTGGTTGAGAATAAATTTCTTCTTTTTAGAAATATTGATATTCATAACTTAAAATGACCAAATATTAAAGGTAATTATATCTTAAACGATCAATAGGTTTGTACCGTCAATTGTTAGTGGTTCATTCCTTCTAATTTAGGTAAAAGCATCAGTCGATGAAAGAACGATTGTTAGCTGTGTTTTTACATAGAAGAGAGTTGGTCATGAAGTATGAACAAGATAATATAGAGATCGTAAGGGTTCCAATCCTTTTTTTCCAATCTTGATTGAGAATATTTATAATAACCTTTAGTGTGTGTCTTAATCGTAGTGTTATTATGGCTTTTTGTTGACTAACGAGCTAGATAAATCTATTTGTTGACCTTTAATTATATTTTAGTAAGTCACATGTGCCTATAAGAGGTATTGTCCATACATTATAGTTGACTAAAAAAAATAACCTCCAAAGAATGCAGGTTAGTCAGAGGCTCAAGAGAGATCTGGAGACTTTGGTTGGTGGAAAGCTGACAATTCATACGAATTTTGTTTGACGAAGATTAAGAAATTTTCATAGATCGACTCTGAAGATATAATAGTACCTAAGGAAAAATTTACGGAGAAAAAACTATAAAGAGAAAAAGAAGAAGATAAATACTCAAAATTTCATCAAATGATATATTTAGATATATTCAAAGTGTTTACAATTGTATAACAATTTAGATATTTGATAATAATTTAAATATCTTTTTGATAATATTTTACAAGTAATTTTTTATTTATAACTAAAGTTTACACAATCTTACTTTTTCTAAGCCTTGAAACCTTTAACACTTGTACTTGATCCTCATGCTGGACACTGAAATCCTGGAGGTGTGGTCTTGCCACAATCGATGAGGACCTGAAGCCCAATTGGTAATATAACATTGATGTTCAAAAGCTTGGCCTTGATCGCGGTGCAAAGACAAATAGCGGCATCCAAGTCCAACAGCCCTTGAAGCACCGGGCAACAAGTATCCTTTGCGCTGCTGCTTATGACGGACACGGGGTCTCCACCGGAGGCGGCTTCACAATGGGAGGACTCGGGTATACAGGAGGCTTTGGAGGCAGCGTTGGGGGCTTCACAACCGGTGGCTTTGGTGGGGGGAAACTTTGGTGGTTTAGGGTGAAATGGAGGCTTTACAATGGGAAGGTGTTTCGGTGGGAAATTTGGCGGCGGAGTCGGAAGGGGACATTCGGGACAGGCAAGACAAGTGAGGAAAGCTCCCAAGTTAGGCAGCAGCACAATGAGTGAAGTATACTTCCCCATCATTAAGCTCCCAAGTTTATGCTCAATGACTCGTTCAAATGAAGTATTCATAGATAGATTAATCATGCAAAGTAATAATCGTTTTTGGATATTTTATTGACTTTGGTAAACTCCATCTCCAAGTTGCAAACTTTGAACCCAAATTTCATGCAAAACTTCATTATCAGGAAGGGATCTACCATTACATTACTCTATAACAAGATTTTCTACTTTTTAAGGACAAGAGGATGGGAGGAACCGCGTGGTTGATTTTAACTGGCAGTGCCCAGTTGGACCCATGATTTGCTGCTTGCATTGCAATTTGCATGTTCCGACAAATGTTTGCAAAGATTACGATGCT